TAAATCTCAGAATTATAGAAAAATACCATAAGACTTTTGCTGGTGACAACTTTTTCTTATACGAGATACACCGCATTTAGGACACTTGTTTAATGATGCATATTCATTTTGAAACAAAATGCAATCATTTGGACAAGCATGTATCTTATCATAGCTCATGCCAATAGAGCATAACATTTTTTTAGCTTCATAGATTCGATTGGGAAGAACATTATCCTCCAGAAGCATCTCTTGAAGTAGGGCTAACAACTCTGTGAAACTTTTATCCGACCATCCATTACCCGCCTTTAAGTTGTACAACTTTAATAGCGCAGACAATCTTGTGAAAGTAGTGCAACCTTTATACAACGGTTTCTCTGCATCGCTTACCAACCTCTCAAACATCTTGGGACAATCTTGAAGATCTTCTTCAAGTGCTTCTACAATCTCTTTAACTCGATCACAATCATATGTATCTCTGCCATTGTCCTTTGAAGCACAGGTCGTATTATCCCCGGGTTCGACATTCTCGTTACTTATCTCACCATGTAATATCTAACATGTATAACTTCGATCAATTCCATGTCTCATTAAGTGAGATTCCAACTGAACGACGTCAATTCGACGCCCATAACAGCAACCTAAGCAAGGACATGTGATCCTACTGGGGTCTTTGGCGTGTTCAACGGCAAACTAAACGAATTTCAATACCCCATTCTCGTACTCTTTAGACAATCGATTAGAAGACATCCATTTTTTATCCATACTAATTGAGTAGTCTAAACTAAACTAAGAAAGTTAAACAAAAACAGAGAATACCTGTAAAGAAATCACTAACTTCTAAGAAGCTACATAGTAGGATGCTTGAAAACGATCACAACCTTGCTCTTCACAGGTAACCCCTATAACAAACAAAATTAATAACATCATCAACATTAAATAATTCTTGGAACATCAATTGTTGATAAAACTTGCAATAATGTAACAACTTCTTATATAGTTAATAATTTCTTTTAATAAAGCCTTATAATATTAAAAGAAAAAGGTGGAACAACTAAGAAACTATAAAATGAGGAACAAAATAAAATACCATAAAACGGACTACTCATATTTCATACGAACTACTTGACATAAATATTAGTACAATTTAAGAATTTTTAATTATATGGGTCAAACGGACTACTCATATTTTAAAGTTAGACTAAAACTCTTATAAAATCGAACTCTAATTATATTTGAACTCTTAATAGACTCGTATACATTAATGTGGAAGTGGTGTCTCTTCCTTTTAAATCTCAAGCATAGACTTCTAAAATGTTCATTAAAATAGGATAGACGTGTATCTAAGACGTGAAAAAAACAACATTTTCTTATTAAAAGAGCTTGATATATGTAAATCAAAGAGCACTAAACTTATTTGAAATCAAAAACTCAATTTCGCTCACAATTTAACCCTCCTCAACAACAAGAGGAAAAACTAGTTCCTTACCATGTTTCATTGAAACAACATTGCTATTTGGTGAATGCATACTCTAACGGATACAAATACTACATAAAAGCTTCCTTATAGTATAAATCAGTGTAAATATTGTTGTATTTTGCAGTAAAATCACCAATATTAAATCAAAAAATCAACTAACGCCCAAATCCCTTGGCTAGAAAATTAACAGAAGAATAGAAAAATTTCTTCCGTCAACAAGATTCTAACACAATCCTACAAACTATGATATTAAAACAATATTGGGACATAGTAGAATAAAATAAAACTAACAGCACTAATTATTATTACATAGGATGAACATAAGAGGTTTCTTAACTATAGGATCAATAGTTACACACAATATAAATGAGAAGGATATAAGCTAACATTTAAACTGGCACTGAGATTAAGACACTATTGTTAAACAACAAAACAAGAGAAGCAAATCATTCATAGTTGAAGATAAATGAGAAAACAACACATTCGAAAGAACTACCTTTAGAGCTCAATAACTCAGAAAAGAAGTAACACTAACATCATATCAAATTGAGGCAAATAATCCCGAAAAATGAAATACTAAGACAATAATCCAGAAAAATGAAAAACTTCAAAATACCGTAACAATGGCGGAAATGCGCTACAGAATGAACGGACGGAGGCTGTCGAAAACGGACGGACAAATGACGGAGAAATGCAATGCAGACGGAATGAACGGAGGAGGGCGACGGTCGGCGGCTGTCGGCCGGAGGGAATCGACGGAATCGGTCGTGGTGAATAGGGAAACGTTCACCAGAGGAGAAGAAGGAAAGAAGGATACATGTATGGTTGTTTTGTTTCTTTTAAAAATTATGGTGGGTATTTTAAATTTATTCTAATTATACCTATAACAGCGCTTCTTAATGGTCTTTAGCAGTGCTTTTAAAAAGCGCTCTCTAAGGTGTGCCTTAGGCATGACATATAGCAGCGCTTTTTAAAAGCGCTTTCTTTCATACCCCGTATAGCAGCGCTTATAAAGAAAGCGCTCTCGTAGGTTACACCTACAACAGTGCTTTACAAAAGCGCTTTCTTAGGACCCCCCTTTAGCCGCGCTTTACAAAAGCGCTTTCTTAGGGAATACATTTAGCAGCGCTTTTAATAAAGCGCTTTCTTAGGGCCCCCTTTAGCAACGCTTTTCAAAAAGCGTTGTCTAAGGTATGCTATTTTTTTTCTTTTTTTTTTCATGACTCTTTAGCAACGCTTTTTCATAAAGCACTGTCTTTTTATGCGCTGTTAAATGTCATTTCTGGCGTAGTGGTTTCATCGCTTTGAGGTTATTCTAATATCAATTTAATTCGATTTATGTTCAATTCTTTTCTATAAAGTCATTTGCTTAATTTGATTGCAACCATTTTCTTAATTCGATTGTGTTCATAGGATAGAATTGATTAAATTCGATTGTATGCATGTTCCTAAATTTAATTGCATGTTATCATTTGCTTAATTCGTTAACTCGTCATATTCTTAACTGTTTGCTTAATTCGATAAACAGGAACATAATTCATTTGATTTTGATAAGCGCTTGTCTAATTGAGAGGATTGGACAAGCTTTAGAGGATAAAAGTACTTAGTAAGATTCACATATTTGGTTAGATATTATTGTTAACAAGGCTTCCTTCAAGATTTGAGTTGGCAAGGAGAGGGATCTTTCATGGAACACATAACCTAGCGTGCAACATTATTTGGTAACAGATGAAGATATCTGCATCTTTTCCATGGATTTCCAATAAGCAAGCAGGTCTGGAAGTTGGTGAATGAATGTACTGGTACAAATGAGATGGAATCACATCACATCTAAACATGTTCTGTTACTTATTTAAAAGAAAATTCAAAGTTAAATCTCCTCATTTCTTTTGGTTAGTAGTGTGTTGGTCCTTATAATTTAGTAGGAACAATATATTGTTCAAAGGAGATTTTTGGGAGTGAAGGATATTGTTGGAAAAACAAAAATTCTTACATAGGAATGATTTTTTGCTAAGGCCAATTGGATGGATTGGCAATCAAACTCTGTGTTTTTCATATCTAGTTCTTATTTTTGTAAGTTATACATCTATATATGAAGGGTTGAGTATCTCTTGTACTCATCTCAATATAACTTCACTTTTGCTTATAAAAAAAAGGCTTAATTGCAACTTTGGTCCCCCTATTTTGTCTTTTTTTTTAGTTTTGAACCCCCCATTTTAAAAACTATTATTTTAATCCCTTTTAAAAATTTTGTTTTGAATTTTAGTCCCCCATTCTATTTAAGTGTCATTTTGCATGACATGGCAAATGAGTTAATGAGGTGGCATATAATATGTGGCATATTTGATATTCCATCTCATTTATAATTATTTTTATTTTAATAATAATAATAACTATTATATTTATTAAAAAATACATATTTATTTATTTTAAATTGAATTATCATGAGTTAAAAAAATTAGAATAAAAAACATATAACAAAAATGCACAATCTTTGCTTTTATTAATCTACATACAGATAGATTTACTCTTATATGAAGTTATAAACAACTAATTCATTTAACTTAAACTAAAGAATGAGAAAATTAGCTAAATGACCCATTATCCAGAAGAAAGCTTCACAGGTTATACAATAAACAGTTAGTTTTGCAGCATCCATTCAACACCAACTATTTTATTACGATTCAACACCAACTATTTTATTACGATTCAACACCAACTAATCTATTTCATTATCAAAATTTCAACTCAATTTCATTCAACACCAACTAAACTCTTAAAAATTGATGAACAAATTGCAACAACAAGCCTTATGATGACAGTTTCAACTTGATCTAACTCAAAGAGCAATAGAAATCAAGAACAACAACCACCAATCAAGGTTTTAAGGAAAAAAATTGAAATTTCTAACACTTTGTCATGAGCAACACAAACTCTTAAAAATTGTTCTTTCAAGTCTCAACAAGAATAGAATGCTAATTTCAATATTTACTAGAGTAGACATTTTGGGTATGGACCGAAGGTATGAAAATGGGTATGGAGTGGATGTAAGAATATTAATGGGTTTTTGAGAATAATAAACATAATTTAGAAGAAAAAGACAGACGCTGAAACTCAAACACAATCTGTAAGAAGAAGACGAACGATGGCAAACGATAGAAAGTTTGGAGAAAATGAAACATATGGTTCATACTTTTGGGGAAGAAGCAATGGAAGATGAGAAGTCTTTCATTTTAAAAATAAATGAATAAGTTAAAAATAACATTATTCTAAATAAATATGAAATAAAAAAAATGAGTAAGAATAAAAAAAATAAGTTTTAAAAAAAACATTAACTTATATTAATGAATTATTTTAAAGATTTTGTTATTATTTAAAAAATTAAAAATTTAATAAATAATGAGTTGAAAAAACTAATTATAATTTAACATTGACACATCATTAAAACAAAAGCCACACATGCTCTATTCTTACAACATATTATTGAAATAAGAAATTACATTTATTAGACAATGGAACTTGTGCTTCAAAATATGAAATATCAAAGGCTTTCATAAAGCTCTAATGGAAGACGTGGTTGAAGCATAACTTCAAGTGGATTTTCCTTAGGTAATGCCAATCCTAACCCTTCACTCATATCAACTTCATTACATTCCTTTGTATATATATCAAACCCTTGAATCAACCTAGCCAAAGTCAAATGCAACACTTGCAACCCAAGTGTTGAACCAGCACAAGATCTTCTTCCATAACTAAATGGCACATACCCAAAATCGTAATTTTGAAAATCAATGTGATCATGATTATTGAAAAACCTCTCAGGTTGAAATTCATTAGGGTTTGACCATATTAGTGGGTCCCTTTGCAACTTCCATAGGTTAATAAGCAAACGAGTGCCTTTGGGGACCTTGTATCCTGCTACATAGGAATCATCAGTGGCTTCCCTTATTCCTGTTAAGGGTGCTGCTGGGTATAGTCGAAGAGTCTCTTTGATAATGGCTTGAATATATTTGAGGTCTTTGATGTTAGATTCTTGGACCCATTTGTGTTTTCCAATGATTGTGTCTAATTCTTGTTGAGCTTTTTTTAAGATCTTTGGATGATTTATAAGTAATGAAAGAGCCCATACTAGTGTTATTGATGTGCTTCCTGAGCCTGTAAGGATAAGAATCTACACAAAAAGTGGTACTTTAATTAACATATTGGAAATTAAAATCGCAAATAGTTTTCATTAAATTATCACTTGTAGGATCCATTTAAGGACAAAACAAAATTTTATATGGACGGACTCAAACGTGAGACTCTTAATTCCAAAGTATTTACCAAGACATCAACTAAGGCTAACAAAACAAAATTGGCCCGTCGGACATTGTTTTTTTTTTTCTGTTTTTTTTTGCGACGCAGACCAAAGTTTTAGGTTCACACCCTTTAATATATTCAACCTGCTCCATAATGTCTTTTAGCATACTTTTGCGAGCGCAAACATTATCATAAATTTGTACAATTCAAATTTTAGAGATATAGTACTCACATGTCCGACCCACCCTCATTTTTTTTCCCGAACAAATCAAATTTTTAGCCTCACACACTCAACTATACTCGCTCTATTATATCCCATTTTTTTAAATTTTTTACAGACGGAGTTAAAAAGAGCAAACAACCAACCGACTAACTCTTTTTGGTTTAATTCAAACTAGAGCCTACTATCTATAGTTATATAAACATAAAAGGAAAACGTACCATGGATGTTGCTTTGATAACTACCTCACGTTTGTGGCCACAAATTTCTTCATCCTCTTCAAACATTGATATCAACACATCCATAAAATCATCTTCACAACTACCATTTTGTCCCTCATCTTTCTTTCTATAATGTTCATGCAACCACTTATCAAGAATAGTATCCACTTCCTTAGCTGTCCTCTTCATGAAACTCACATGCCCTTGAAAGTCAAACCAGCTAAGAAATGGAATAGCATCAGCCACAACAAAAACACCACTTAGATATGTAGTATCTTTAATTGCATTCCTTAATCTCCATGCTTCACTATCTTCTTGATTTATTGTCTCACCACTAAATCTTTTCCCAGCTATCATCCTCACAATTATATTAAATGTCATATGATCTAAAAACTTGCTAATAGGCACTTCATGTAAACCATTTGAATTTTTTACAAAGGTGTACAAATCTTTCACTAGAGAATATATCTCTAAATCTCTAACATGCTTTAGCTTTTCAAGTCTATGACTTGACAAAAGCTCAATAGTAGCAATTTTTCTCATATTTCTCCAATAATCTCCATAGGGTGCAAGAGCTAAAATAGCATTATTGTAACCCATGTATCTCCCTGCAGCTACATTAGGTCTTGAAGCAAAAACTTTGTCATTTTTTGTGAGACATTCTTTGGCAATCTCTCTACTACTCACTACTAGGGTTTTGTGACAACCAATCCTAAGGGAGAAGATTGCACCATATTTTTCAGCCATGGTTGAAAAGGTTCTAAAATATGGTTCTTTAGTGCTCAGAAGATGAAGGTGGCCTATGAAAGGTAAAGCAAAACATGGTTCGAGTATTTTGTTATGGTTGATGTTGAACTTAGTTTCTTTAGATCTATTAAGTGATCTAATAGTTCTAAAGACAAGTTTTACAATCCATAAGGCTAATATGAATGTAGTAATTTGATAATAAGAAGGAAGCTCCATGTTGTTATTGGATTGAGAGAAGGATGTAATAGTTATGGTATACTTTACATCTATTTATATAGCATCTAAAATATCTAGCATTAATATTATTGAATAATATGTATGGTCATGTAGGAAGTTTATTATGTGGTTCTCAATTTTTTTATAACACATGATACATATTTTAGGATTGCTATGTCGGACACCCATTTCTACACCCTACACCTCAGTTATTGTTCACAAATACTTGGACAAATTCCACAGAACATGGTTAATAGTGTGTATTTTATTGATTAATGAAGTAGTGAAAGTGGTTAATAAATTATAGGTAAAATAATTGGCTAATAATGTAGATTTTTGTGTTATAAAATAAATTTTAAAAATAAATATTTTTTTTTAAAAAATTAATATTTTAGAAAAATATATTTTTTTAATTAAAAAAACACTGTTCACCGTATAAATACGGTGAATAGTGCATACGGTGTAAATATTGGGTGTAAGAATAGCATTTTTCTAAATATTTTCCAGCACTAACACTATTTTCCAGCATATAATTAAAACGTAACGTGTGAACATATAACTTCTCCTTTGAAATCTGTCTCTAATATACCCTAAGATAAGGTGACTTATATACCACAAAAAGACGAGTTTAAACCTAAACATATCTTCTCCATTGGTGGTCAATAGTAAGTATGGGCCTACAGTAGGGCATGCAAAACAAAGAAATACAAAATCCTATTAAATTGTTAAACTATGTCTTTGAACTTGAAAATATATTTATCATCAATTCATTTTATAAGTGATTGTATTAAAGAATTAACTATATATATGTCCCTTGAAAATTACATCAGGATGAAATACAACTTACATTTATATTTATATGGGGGACGAATATTAGTGAAATTCATCATTTTGATAATAGTATGGAGCGTGGAAGAAGGGATAGCACTAACACACATTTTGCATTTATTAACGTCAATTCTTTAACTTTAAGTATTATCATAGGTATCTCAAAAGTGATTTCTCACAAAATTTAAGATTTTCTTTGTAAATTACCATGATATAATCTGCAAAAAGTACAAGATTAAGAATGATTGTACCTCTAGAACCTACTCTCTCTGGTTCTTAATATAAAAAAAGTATATTTTTTAATTTATTAAAGAATCAATTTATTTGGAACCTACTCCCTCTAGTTCTTAATATAAAAAAAAAAAAAATTTAATTTATTAAAGAAACAATTTATTTTGGACTATATATTGTTCTGTTATATTTATTTTTCACCAAATTTAAAAATTATTTTTTTTTATATTAATGATCCATATAGTATAATACAATAGATCTTACTTCCTTCGTTCGAAAATAAATGATTTTGTTGAGTATTTCACACAAATTAAAAAAAATTTTAAATAAAAGAGAGATAATAATATTTTTACTAAAATATCCTTATCATATTTTTGAAATAATAAAAATAATACTAGACGGTAAAATTGAAAAAGAAGTATTAAAAATTGAAATGAGTAATTCATTTTGAGATATTCTTTTATTCCAAATAAATCATTTATTGTAAGAATGAGTGAGTAACATTTTCTACAAGAATAATATATATATATATATATATATATATATATATATATATATATATATATATATATATATATATATATATATATATATATATATATATATATATGTATATATATATTATTCTTTTAGAAAATGTTATTCACTCACTCATTTTTATATATATGATCTTACTGGATCAGAAAAGGGATCAGCAGTCAGCAACACATCGTGAGCTCCTAATTTGCTGGTGGTGGAGAAGAGGAAGGGGGTGTACCTGCAAGGTATTCTGATGCCAAAGTAAGAGACAAAGTAGAAAGAGCAAGTACAGAAAAGGTGTAGAAAGAATAGAATATCTGACTCTCTAGTGAAAGAGGATATTTATAATATGCCCCCAACGCAGGGCCAACGGTTACTTTGCATTGGGTTGGATCGCTAGGCCCAATACGAGTACCTGTTAGGGCTTATGTGGTGTAGGGAAGACAAACATGTGGTATTCTCCCTGAGTCAACTGCCTCGTGATCTTCAGAAGGTGGGTAGTTGTCTGATGATGTGTCCCCGCGTGGGAGCATGTGGAGACTGTGGGGGAGACGTGTGAGAACTTCCATCTGCGTTGATGGATTGAGCCTTCATTGGGCTCTCTCTGACGAGGATCTGGGTTGGGTTGTTCCCGACGGTGAGCTAGCCTCTGACCCAGTCCGGAACAGGAGTCCCCCGAGTCGTTGCTCCGAAGCAGAGAAGTAATCACTAAAAAGTCGGTTCAAATATCGGGGACCTATTCGGAGGAGCGTTGTGCGTGTTTGAAACAATGAACTCGCGGATGAAGCGTGTGGCTAGGAGTAGGAATTGCTTGACAATACAGGAACTCGCGGGGAGGTCTGTCTATCAGATGTAATCTTGGCTCTTTTTCTGCTTCCACGGGGATATATCTCTGGCAAGTGATATGGTTTATGATGTGACGAAAGCAGAAGGGAACGGACAGCTCTGGTCTCAAGCAGGAGAGAGAGTTGAACGGACATGTGTGGTGTCTTTCGATTATACAGCTCAACTTTTTCCAAGTGGTAACCTCCGATTTGTCTTCTAGGGTTTCTTTCTTCTCCTTACAACTTTTCCCTGAGTTAGATTCAGTACCCATCGTTGATCCCCTCTCAGAATCATCTCTTCTGATGCTTTGTTGCAAAAGTATGGTTAGAATCAAAGGTGATGGAATCTTATTCTTCTTTGGTCTTCCATTCCCTCGACCCATAATGCTTCCGATTATACAGCTCAACTTTTTCCAATTGGTCCCTATTCCATGGACTAGAAATTTAAACCAACCTGAATCAAGTTTTCCCCATTAACCACAAGCTTGGATCTAAAATTCTAATTATTTAAATTAACAAATATTAATTTATATTAAATTAATTTACACTTGAATAAAATGAATTAATTTAATTATGTATCAATTTAAATTAATTTAATAAATTAACTGAATATATTAATTGACTCGTATTAATGAACTAAATAATTAATTTAAATATTTAAATAAATATGTAAACAAATATATACTTAGGCACTTTATCTTCTATATTGTTATACATTTATTAAGCAAATAGTTTCTCGTGATGTAACTAGTATAACACTGTAAATGTTGACATATATTTTTATATCCTTTCAATTTCTCGATTTTGATAAAATAGTAATGCAGCAAAATTTCGTTCTTGTTTTTCAACAAAATTGTGTTCACAGGTTAGAATTCAATTTATCCTTGTCTTCAAAGTATATATGAAAACTCAAGAAGTTCTGCTACTGAGGATATTTTTTTTGTTGGAGTGAGAAAAAAATTTGAGAGAAGAGTGAAATTTCTGGGGTCGCAATTAAGTACAGGGAAATCTCACGAGATCGGAGTTTTCTCACAATCCAATCGGCAGGTCATTCTGATTTTTTATGACAGCGTTCAGCACTCATAGAGTTACATTCTGAATGGTGGATATCGGATTTTGAGCATTCTAAGTATTTCTGACGAGTTTACTTCTGAGGTGCATTTTGTGTGTGGTTGTTTTGGTTGATTCTCTATGTATGGTGACTTTTATCGGGAGAGTCGTGGCTTGACAATCAAAGTTGCAAAAATGTGTCACACTCTATACTACCGAAGCCGAGTTTATAGCCATCGTGGAAGTATCAAAATAGTTGTTATGGTTGAGGAGATTTTAAATAGAGTTTGGTGTGAAACAATGAAAGTATGTCTTGTTTTGTGATAATTAAAGTGTCATTCACTTATTGAAGAATTCTTCCTTTCACTCGAGGTCGAAGCATTTTGATGTTCATTATCGTTGGATTCGTGATGCATTAGATTTCAAGTTGATGGAGCTTGAGAAGATTCACACTAATGACAATGGTTCGGATATATTAACAAAGGTGTTTTCGAGGGGAAAGTTTTAGTTTTGTCGCATGGTAGCTAGATTGGTGTTTCCCCCCAACTAGTCGTTAGGAGAAGTTTGTTGGGTTATCCCTCCTATTTGGAGCGGCCCAAGTGTACGTGGTTTAGTAGCTCATGTGTGTGTAATCCTTTGCTATTATAAAAAAAAATTAGGTCAACAATTCATAAGGTGAGAAACAACAACAAAAAATTAAGATAAGAGTGAAATTCTCGCAACCCTAATGCAGCACATAGTACTCCCATGAGATCATAGTTTTCTCACAATTCAACTTTCTGATTGTCCTGATTTTTTGTGACAGCGTTCAGTCATATTTTGAGCGTACTATGTCTGTCTGATGAGTCCACATCTGAGGTGCAGTTTTTTGTGGTTGTTTTGGTTGATTGTCTTGATTCTTGTTGTACCTGCAAGGTATTCTGATGCCAAAGTAAGAGACAAAGTAGAAAGAGCAAGTACAGAAAAGGTGTATAAAGAATAGAATATTTGATTCTCTAGTGAAAGAGGATATTTATAATGTGCCCCCAACGCAGGGCCAACGGTTACTTTGCATTGGGTTGGATCGCTAGGCCCAAAACGAGTACCTGCTAGGGCTTATGTGGTGTAGGGAAGACCAACATGTGGTATTCTCCCTGAGTCAACTGCCTCATGATCTTCAGAATGTGGGTAGTTGTCTGATGATGTGTCCCCGCATGGGAGCATGTGGAGACTGTGGGTGAGACGTGTGAGAACTTCCATGTGCGTTGATAGATTGAGCCTTCGTTGGGCTCTCTCTGACGAGGATCTGGGTTGGGTTGTGCCCGACGGTGAGCTAGCCTCTGACCCAGTCCGGAACAGGAGTCCCCCGAGTCGTTGCTCTGAAGCAGAGGAGTAATCACTAAAAAGTCGGTTCAAATGTCGGGGACCTATTCGGAGGAGCGTTGTGCGTGTTTGAAACACTGAACTCGCGGATGAAGCGTGTGGCCAGGAGTAGGAATTGCTCGACAATACAGGAACTCGCGGGAAGGTCTGTCTATCAGATGTAATCTTGGTTCTTTTCTTCTTCCA